ACATTGACGGTGTGAACATTCACATTAAGGGTATTTTGGTAATTATGTCACCTATAGGACTTATTGAAACATAAGAAAATAATGTGAATTAAATGGAACATAAGTAGATGAAAAGGGTATTTTGGTCTTCTTATCTCAAATCGGACCTAATGGAATAGTCAAAAAGAATATGGGTTTGATGGAATAAAGCTCTTAGAAAATGGATTTATCAAAAAAGCTCCCTTTTTATATAAATATTCTACCCAATGAAATAATGGCCTCCATAAATTTAATTTTAAATTTCCTACATTCAAAACTCCATGCTCTAAATTACTAAGCTCATAAAGACATTTTTAAACCCATAAGGACAGTCTCGTACAAAATGACTATCTGTTCAATCCCAACAGACTCCCATACGTGCCTATGAGCTTTAGCGTGAGCTCTTCGTTGAGATCATCTTGATGAAAAGAGGCCGTGTGATTTTGAGGATAACAACAGTGTTCATGTTTGGAAGGAGCTGGTGTATTTTACAAGTAGAAGTTATGATTTCAACAAATACAACCTCTCTCTCTCTCTCTCTCTCTCTCTCTCTCTCTTTCTCTGTGTATGAGAATTTGAATAGATAGAATAAAAAATTGAACAAATAGAAAAAAACAAGCTTGTTAAATTTCAATAGATAAGAAAAAATAGGTTCTAAGAATTTCAGCAAATAGGAAAAATAACCTTGGTGAATTTCAATAGGAAAAAATAGGTTTCATGAATTTCAACATGTAGGAAAAAACATGCTAATGGTTAATGAACCAAAAACTAGGAGTTATGATTTTTCGATACCTTGTAAACTCAATTAATGTTTTAAGCTATGAGTGTTGATTGTGGATCGTACTATTATGACCTACATCTGTTTTTCTGCTATATGATAGAATAATAAACTCCATCATCGAGTGTACGGGAAAGAAATAAACCTTCTCGTATAATCTTTTTGATCAAGTCCGCGTTCCTCCAAACGTCGTCGCTTTGCCCCCTGAAAACACAAACGTGAGCTAACCGACGGGTGTGTGCCGGAAACTCCTCCGATGCCTAAGTTAGCAAAAATAGACAAGTAGACAAAAAGCTCTGTGTATCAAAGTTGTATGTTACCTCTCCATAGGTGATGTTTGTGAGCTTTTATAGGTTCCGTGTGGCACAATCCAAGTAGGACTCTTACTTCTCCATGCAGAGTCCTCTTATGATTCATACTCCTGAAGGATAATGCTTATCCTTCAACACCCCCCTCACTGCTTAAACCAAGTGAGATGGTTTTACCATGGCCGGACTACCATACAACCGAGATAACTGTCAGATCGACTCTTTACTTCCTCACTTCT